GCCAACATCGATTTCATTAACTATTAATGATCAACCTTATTTTGTCATTGTTAATAATACATTATTAATGAACTACACACTTTATAACCATGGTCAAACTCAAATAACTATTACCTTACGTGTCATTGATACTATGGGTCTTCTATCAACAGATGGGTTTGTAAAAGCTTATCGTCTGGCTGCAATAAGTAACGTAAGTGATACAATTGCAATGGACGTAATAAACATTCCTGATATGAATTCAAATACTACTGTAATCACCAATGCCGTTGTGTTTAGTATTGCTGCACTTGATTACAAATATGATCAAAGTACACCAGTGTATATAAAGCGAGACGATGTTCATCTTACCAATCAAACTGATTATCAAAAACCAACAGTTACACCATCACCATTAGATAATTTTGCCATGACTTTGGAATCATCACTGATACATTTCATTTTATATATGTTGAGCTTCTTTGTAATGCTTCATTAAAAATATTTATACGTTAATGAAGGAAGCAATGCAATTTTATCGATTTTTGATGAACTGTTATATTTTCACAGTAAGGGTGTGGGTGTGGGTATGGGTGTGGGTGTGAGTGGTGTGGGTGTGGGTGTGGGGTGTGGGTAAAAAGAAAACCCTCATCCACACCCACACCCACAACCACACCCACAACCACACCCACACCCACACCCACACCCACACCCACAACCACAGCCACACCCACACCCACAACCACACCCACAACCACAACCACACCCACACCCACAACCACACCCACACCCACACCCTTATTAGATGTGTTGGATTTAGAGAGTTTGTAACGAAAATATTTGAGTGAAGGTTTTCATAATTATGCGCTTGGCCGTTAATCATTTCTTGGTACGATGATGGTAGGCATGGGCGGCACAGGCTAAAGTTTCTAGGGGTAGCAATAAATTTATCAAACTAACAGCAATACGAATAAAAATTATTCCACTTCATATTTTGCAAGAAATTTATTTATTGTCAAAATATTTTTTTTTCTCTTTGTTTTTTTATACAAAGTCCGTTACAATAAGATCTAGATGAATGTCAAAACAACGTTCAATATTCATTAATGCTAAACTAGATAATCTCTCTTGACCTGTTGTATTGCGAATGTATGTTTTAAGCCGTCTTAAAAAATAAAATCTTCTTTCATATTCGCATGTATTAGTTGAAATTGTCCGTAATATTTTTAACAAATTGCTCATTGTATTAAATGATTGATTAAAAGAATTTTATGAAAAATTTTGTCGCTGACGTTAAGGTCATTTGTTTCTTTTGGCCAAGTGCTACTTTGCGAAAACGTTGTTCACTTCTTAATTAATCATGGTTCATATTATAGAATTGGGCAATTTGTTGTACTTCAACGTGATTTCAAAATGCAAGTGCAAACATAAAACAACTATAAAATGAAAGATCGAGTTGAATAGAAAGCAGTCTATGTCGAGGAAGAGTCTCATTTTATCATTATAAGAGCAAGAGAATAGTTACTATTTTGATTCAATCATGTAATGCTCATCGATCACAAATATGACAAAACAGATGTTATACTTATAACAAGAATAAAGTCCTTATAAAACAGTAGCATAAGTCTGGTAGTCTATAAATGTTCTTTTAGCTACCATCTCAATTTGGCATATGAGGGGTAGCAATAGTTTTTTATTACAGTCCCTAATTTTTTGTAGGGGTAGCAATTGCAACCCTTCGCATCATAGGTGCGCCATCTATGATGGTAGATCTATTTCTTCTTGCTCAGCTGTTGGATTGTCGTGCAGACTTAGTCTATCTTCAATAGTATTTAATCATCATATCATAGAAGTTCATACAGAAGAGTTATCTGATCGAGGAAATGTATTCGATTGAAGTTGGCAGTGTCAACTTGGCACTGCCGTATGCGGGCGAACTCTTTAGATTTGCTTCTATTGTTGACTCATTTTCACCAATCAAATCACTGCCACGACACGGTTCAGTATTGTGCTTTGGTGACTTCATATAGGTGTCAGAATGAAAAAGAAATTAATTTAAATCTCTAAAAAAATAAAAAAGCTGGATCAAATATGCTACTGGGATTTTTCTTCTCTTTCATTGGTTATTGATAACGACGTTGTTGATTCCAAATACGTGAAGGTTTTCATTTGATATCGACGTTGAAACAATAGTCTGTTTGAAGTTACAAGTAAATAGTCCCGTCTGTTGATTCGTTGGCAAACAGCAAAACTTAATAT